TTACATCATAGTGCAACATGGGACAGACATACAGGCAGACATGATACTGGAGAAGTAGTCAAGTGTCCTACTTCTTGCAGGCAATAGGAAGTTAACTGAGTGTCACAGACAGTGAAACTTGAGCAAGAGACCTCAAAGCCCACTCTCACAGTGACACACTTCCTCCAACAAGGCCACACCTACTTCAGCAAGGCTATACCTCCTAATAGCACCACCCCCTTTGGGATTGTTGTTGTTGTTTTTTTAATTTTTATCTTTATTTTATATGCATTGGCGCTTTGACCATGGGTGCTGGATCCCCTGGAACTGGAGTTACAGACAGTTGTGAGCAGCCAAGTGGGTGCTGGGAATTGAACCTGGGTCCTCTGGAAGAAGAGTCAGTGCTCTTAACCATTGAGCCATCTCTCCAGCCTCAACCCATTTATCTTAACCTACAGTCAGCCACATATTGCCCATCCTATTTCTTCCGTTTCTCCTGGTGTCTCTCTCATACCGCTAGATTCCTCTCCTCTTTCCTCTCTCCCCCAGAAGTCCTGCCTGGAGCTCATGCCTAGCTATTGGCCACTCAGATTTTTATTAAACCAATCACAGTGACATATCTTTACACTGTGTAGTTAGATATCTCACAACAGTATTTGATAGCAAGTAGCTTAAATTTCCTTTTTCTCATTTCATTTATGTTTTAATTTATGGAAGACAAAATGTGCCATGTGATTAGATTCTGTACGCTAAAGAAATGAAATTTTATATTCAGATGTTTTTCTGTTTTCCCCTTTGGCTGAAAATAGATTATTTTCTCATACAAAATATCCTGATTACAGTTTCCGCAAAGTGGTCAAGACCATAATGAGGAAACCCACAGAAATAGCTGATCCGAGCAAGTGGGAACAAGTTGGTCCCTGACTCTGGACCAACAATTGGGAATCCTGCATGAGACTGAAGTAAGCCCTCTGAATGTGAGCAACAGTTACGTGGCTTGGGCAGTTTGTGGGACCACTAGCAGTGGAACCAGGATTTATCCCTAGTGCATGAGCTGACGTTTTTGGAGCCCATTCCCTATGGAGGGATACCTTACTCAGCCTAGGTACAGGGGGGAGGGACTTGGTCCTGGCTCAGGTGGTATGACAGACTTTGTTGACTCCCCATAGGAGACCTCACCCTGTCTGAGGAGTGGATGGGGGATGGGGGAGCAAATGGGGGGAGAGTGAGAGGACAGGAGGGAGAGGGAACTGGGATTGGTATGCAAAATAAGACGGTTCGGAAAATAAAAAAGTAATAAAAACAGAAGAACAGACTTCTATGATATAGCAATGAAACATCACAAAGTAAAAATACTAAGATAAAACAAAGACCGTCACATCAAAGTCGGCAAAGCAGAGCAATGGAAAGAAAAGAGCCCCAGAGAAGGCACGAGAATCAGAGACCCACTCATTAGACACTCAGGAGCCAAACAAAAATGCTAAGCTGAAAGCTATGATATATACGGAAAGGAACCTGGCACAGACTCCTGCAGGTCACGTGTTTCCTGCGTCACTCTCTGTGAGTTCACGCGAGCCTTGCATACTTGACTTAGAAGGACTTGTTCTCCTGATGTCCTCCATGCCTTGTTGCTCTCACTCATTCTTTCTGCCTCCTCTTCCACAGGGTCCCCTGAGCTCTGAGGAAGGAATTTGATAGAGCCATACTGTTTCAAACTTCTCTCTCTCTCTCTCTCTCTCTCTCTCTCTCTCTCTCTCTCTCTCTCTCTCTCTCTCTCTCTCTCTCTCTCTCTCTCTCTCCTTACCTCTCTCTCCCTCTCTCTCTCCTCTCTTCTCTCCTTACCTCTCTCTCTCCCTCCCTCTCTCCCTCTCTGTCTCTCTCTCCCTCTCTCTCTGTCTCTCTGTCTCTCTCTCCCTCTCTCTCCCTCTCTCTCCTCTCTCTCTCTCTCTCTCTCTCTCTCTCTCTCTCTCTCTCTCTCTGTGTATTTGTTCACATCTGCTGTAGGAGGAAACTTCTCTGATGACGACTGAACTTGGCACTGACTGATCTATGAGTATAGCAGAATATTATTAGGAGTCACTTTTTTTTGTAAGACCAATAGTATTTGGTTTTACTCTATGTCTCTGGGCTATCTAGTCTATGGTTCTTGGTCACCTAAGCAGTGTCAGGACTGGATTCCATTTCATGGGATGGGTACAAGTAATCCCTAGCCCTCAACCAGGAACCTCTAGCTGTATGAATACACTAAATATCTGCTAATGAGCCTTCCATGATGAATTATTTTCCCTTTTAGATAAAGTTTAGAGAGTTTAAAATTGCATATTTTACATTTAAATGTATTAGATCATACACAAAATATACAAACTATATGTGAATTTTAACTGTCTCATCTGTAAATTTGAGAAAACTCATATTAACTTAAAAAAATGCAGTTTTAGGATTACTATACAAACCAGAAGAGACCTGTTAAATTTCAATCTCATACATAAAAAGAAAAATTTAATAAATTCAGATAGAAGACATAAATATTTACTCATTCCTTTATATTTGAAATTATGCACATAGAAATTTTAATATGGCTAGTTATCTTGTTTTTCCCTTCTTTGTTTTTTTAAAACTAAATCTTATAGCATCATGAAAATTACATGAGTGCTCACAGAAAATTTCCAGTTGTCTATTTTAAAGAAACATTAAAACAAACCTACAATAAACATAATTCTATGTATAAATATACATGTATAGTTTGAAGCAGATTTTCTTTTCTGGGCTGACAATGCCTCCTTCAAGGCCCAAAGACCTGCAAATTTAAAAAGTCATAAGAAGTAATCTTTGACATTGTAGGTCAGTGTTGTTCACAGGTCTCCCAAAACATTACAGGCTATCGTTCTTGGTCACCCCCTAGAGGTGGAAGGAAGGGATGGAATACAAATATTGTACTATGCTCTGAAATGTCTGTGTGATTAGGTAGGTATTCTGGAAATGTGTGGAGAAGTGAAAATAATTTACAGGATAATTTGTTCAGCTAACAGTAGGTTACAAGTTATATCTCTAGCAATTACATATTTTAGAAAATTCATTGAATTGTCTTTTAAAAATTTTTCTACTTTTTTGTTTGTTTGTTTTTTGAGACAGGGTTCCTCTGTATTGTTTTGGAGGTTGTCCTGGAACTCACTCTGTAGACCAGGCTGGCCTTGAACTCACAGAGATCTGCCTGCCTCTGCCTCCCAAGTGCTGGGATTAAAGGCATATGCCACCACCGCCCGGCATAATGTGTAGCCCAGGCTGGCCTTGAACTCATGATCCTCCTACCTCTGCCTCCTTCAGCAAACCCTACTGGTGTGTGCCACCACAACCAGCTACTTATTTTTTCCGTCTAAAATTTCTAGATGCTTACAGAGTAGCTTGAAAAGATTCTCAAGATGGATCACTTCAATTTTTTCTCGTATCTTAATAATGGTAGTGATATTTTACTGACAAAAACAAAAGCTAAGAGGGATGCATTCACCAAGAGAAAAATAACAAGATGCTGAATATTCATCTGTTTAAAATGTATTTGTGGAACAAAATGTGAGAGTGTGTCAGCATCTATATTCTTTTCTATTCATTTAATTTTTGCATTTTCTGTAAGCATGATTTCCATAGAGACTTCCAGCACTATGAAAGCCAGACAGTGGAGATGAAGCTTCCAGGTCAGTACCAGCTGGATTTACAGTCTTCAATATACCTGCTTTTTTTGCTAGTGCTGTGTATTCTGATGACCAGTTTTGCTAGTTCTAATAGTTTGCATTGACAGTCTTGGTCTTTCAGAATGTGGAATGTGAAGGATAACTAACACTAAAGGCCATTCAAAACAAAGATAGAGAATGGAAGTAAGGACCCCAATGAAACACACACACAAATTACACATTTTGTGAATTCAACTGAGTTGCAATAAAAGTACGAGTAACACGTGTTCGAGAAACGATAGCTTCATCAGTAGTGTTATGAAAACTGGCAATGCACAGGCAGAAAAATGATATGGTAACCCTTTCCCAAATCATGTACAAAAATTAACTCAACTATATCACAGAAGCACGGATCTTAACTTTATACAAATAGCAGAAGAAAATAGAAGCGGTTAGAGGTTATGTTGTTTTTTATTGTTCTCTATTGCATTATTTGAATTGATAGTTATATGTAAATATGTTCACTAAAGTGAACTGAGAAGCTTCTGTAAGGCAAAGGACACAGTCAACAAAACAAAAAGGCAGCCCACAGAATGGGAAAAGATATTCATCAACCCCACATCTGCCAGAGGGCTGATTTCCAAAATATACAAAAAAATCAAGAAGTTATTCACCAAAGCACCAATTAATCCAATTAAAAAGTGGGGTACAGAACTAAATAGAGAATTCTCAATAGAGGAATCTAAAATGGCTGAATGACACATAAGAAAGTGTTCAACATCCCTAGCAATCAGGGAAATGCAAATCAAAACAACTCTGAGATACTATCCTGCTCCTGTCAGAATGGCTAAAATCAAAAATACCAATGACAGTTTATGCTGGAGGGGATGTGGAAAAGGGAGAACACTACTAAGAATGAAAAGAATGTCTGAGGTCATGATCCCGATTTTTGATGATGCTCAATTCTAGTTATTATTGATATATTTTCACCTGGTCTCACACACATGGTAACCCCCAGTTAATATGTACGAATTATCAAGCAATAAAAAATCATAGTATGTGCATTCGTCATCTAAATGACTATCATGCTGTTAAACATAATCTTTAACTTTCCTATGCTAATTTACATTGAAATTTCCAAACCAAAATATACATATTTCAGGATGTACGCAGAATGAGAATATGTTGGTTTCTTGGACAGTTTTCTGTCAATTTTTAATTAAAAACATTCCATTTAAGACTAAGACAAAGAATTTATTGCACAGATTTGTTTTAATTTTTTTCATGAAAGAAACCTGTACTCCAATATTTAATAAAACCTTATAATTTACATCTATATTATGGAGATTTGCTTCTGCATTAGGGCTGTTCAACAAGTGTATTTATGAACCTCTGTCAGTGAGTGACGTCTGGAGGGCACAGAATGGAATGAAGAGGGTTTACATTTGTGGAAATCCTGTGGGTTTCAGATTCTTTAGCACTCTGTGTGCTCCAGGAAGTCCTGCCCCTTTTTTTTACTGACACCTTTGTTCATCAGTCTGTTCCAGGAATCAAATGAATAAAAAAAGGTTAGATGAATGGACATACAAACAGACAGAAAGTTATACTACTGTGTAAGTAAAGTTTATTTGTCCTTCATAAGCTATTACACATCTCCCTCAAACATTTATTCAGACTTCCCAACATATTCTTAAGGAAACAATCTTGAATTAACATTGTCAATGTAAAGACTGCCAAGTGAAACTCTTAAGTTCTCTTGTAACTCATACAACTGATGGGGGATGTCCTTCTGTATGCATGTTCTCTTACTGGTTGATGAATAAAACACTGATTGGCTGATAGAGGCAGGCATATAGGGGGGCTAAGAGACAAGGAGAATGATCAGGAGAGAGGCAGAAAGGCTCCACGAGAGATGCCATGTAGCAAAGGAAGGAATAGCAGTCCTGGATCCTTCTCTGGTAAGATAAGACCACGTGGAAATACATAGATTAATAGAGATGTGTTAATAAGTTTTCTTGGTCTTACAAGACAGGGTTTCTCTGTATTGTTTTGGAGGCTGTCACTCCAGCCTGGCCTCGAACTCACAGAGATCCTCTTGCCTCTGCCTCCTGAGTGCTGGGATTAAAGGTGTGCGCCACCACCGCCCAGCTGAGATGTGTTAACAATTAAGAAACCCTAGCCATCGGCCAACAGATTTATAATTAATATACCATTTTTGTATGTCTATTTGGGACCAAAAGGTGGCAGCCAGACTTGGCAGGAAAGAAGATCTCTAGCAACATGCAACTTACACAGTTATTCAAAAACAGACTTTTAAAATAAAAAAAAATTCAAAAGCTTTATACCTCACTTCTATACTCATTTCTTTAGCACATCAGAAAAGTAATACTTCCCCCAAATAATACCCACTTTATTAAATAAGATTCATGTAACATGAAACACTCATGTCATGTTGGTCTGAAAACTACAATCTAAAGATCAAAGACTGTAGTGGACAGCTGGCATGTCAGCAGATCTATGCCAGCCATTATGTTGACATCTGAGACTCTGGTAAACATTGAGATGACCTTATCTGAAAACAAGTTTGTCATGTGGACATGACATTTAAGGTACTATATATAGTATTCTTAGTTTTAAGAAAGAAACATTTTTACTGATACCGAGTAAATACATATGTGAATATTGTCATGGTTAGTTTTAAGTTTTAATTGGACACAGCCAATGTTCACCTGAGAAGGGAGTCTCAGAGAAGGGATTGCCCATATCGGATTGGCCTATGGACATGTCTGTGGGGGGAGGGTGGGGTTGTTGTAGGGAGGCCCACCCCACTGTGTGCAGTATCATTCCATGGGCAGGGTCCTGGGTTGTACAAGAAAGATAGCTAAGCAAAAGCCAGAGAGCAACCCAGTAAATAGCATTCTTCCATAATTTCTGCTTCCAGTTTCTTGCCTGAGTTCTGGCTTTGACCTCCCTTAACCATGGGCTGTGATCTGAAAGTCTAAGACAAATAAGCCTCTTCATCTAAGCAGCAAAACACGTGAGTCAATGTGTTTTATCTCAATAACTTAAGTGCTTTGCTGCATCTTCCTCTGTAATCCTAAAAAGGCATCAAAGTCCAAGTTAAATGGAAACTTAACATATTGCCTGAGTGTGAGATCATTCAATAACTTACTTCAATTGTTTCACGCACAGGCTTTTCATCTATACAATAATCATAGAAGCACTGTAGACCTTAGCAGGTGTCAACGCTGATTACAAGGGGAAATACAAACTAAATTCTTCCTAAAGGCCTTTTAATTTTCCATGCGGACGAAATAGGAAATGCTTATTATATTCTTCACTGTTCACCAGGTCAACAATTGATGTTTTAGGAAAAGATTATTTCATCATGTCCTCTGGTAAATAATACATGCATAGTCTCAATTCTAAGGCCATCACCATCAAAACTTTGTGTTAAAAGCTTTAAGGATCTACAAATTATAGAAGTAATTATTTAAATTGAGGTGTAAATAACATGGCTGTTACTTTATCAGTTACGGCTATGTCACAGATACATAGGAAAACTTAAATTTGATTACTCATTTATAGTGATAATGCTTAGCATATACCATTTAAGACCACTAGGAAAAGTCAAAATGAAACAGCATTTGGTTTCAAATGATTTGGGTTCCATATCTATTCTTTTGTTAACACTCTCTGATTATGTGTTTTCACAAATTTATTTCCAACTTCATAGAATATATATATGCATATATATGTACCTAACTAGATAAATAATAGACAGATATGAAAAATGTATCCAATTGTCTAGCAAGCAATCTAGAAATTATGCATTCCAAGTCAGACATTATATGAAATGATAGATAAATAAACATTTTTTTCCAATGGCAAATGTATCAATAGGCTAGGGGATTTATTACTTAAATACATAAGCATTTACTAAAATTACTTTTGTAAAAACTAATCAAAGTTGTATATCTTATAATAAGTATTCATGTATTATCAAACATACTAGCAAAATTAACCAAAATATTCTAGTTTTAACCTTATCAAATTACAATCTATAAGTCTACCATGTAATCATAAACCATTTTAAAATTACACATCCTACCTTCCCACAAAAGTACAACAGCATAAGAGCGCACCTTTTCTCCAGATCCTTGACAGTGTCAGCAAGTGGAAGGTTTAAAGTCTCCAGCAGAAAATAGATGTTGACTGTTGCTACTATGGGTATGATGCCACAGAGAATCATAGGAAGGTGTATAAAATACTTCCTAGTAACAAGTGCTAGTGCAGACAATATTGTTGCTATTCGGGCAGCAATGTTATAAACACCAGACAGAGTTGACCTTCAAAAATAGACCAGAAATGAAAAACTTGAATCTACAAGATTAGTATTATTGTGTCATATTCAGTACAGCTATGCAAAATCACCGATGGCCAATGTAGATTTTCCCAGCATTCAGTGCTATTCATACTGCCTTGTAGAGCCCCATAAAGAGCATTATTTCCATATGGACACAGATTTCTGCTTTTCTTTGGCATATTATAAGGTGTTTAAAGCTACAGTTTTTGTTGTCCACAGAATATACAGCTTACTGTTATTTTTAGTTTGCTTGTCTTTAAAATGGGCAAAACAGATATTGTATCAATATTCATGGAGTACAATGTTAGGGTTACTTGATAAAAGTAAGATGAATTAAATTTAAATTTAAAATAAAAAAGAATAATACTTTAGTGTGTAATGTCCAGTATTTATTTATTCCTTTACTTACACTAAAAAAGAAACCCTAAAATCTATTTACATTTTAAATTTACTGCCTTCTTTCTTTTTCTTTTCAGGTAAGTTTTGCCCTAGTATATGGACTTTTGTTGAAAAATTTAGCATAGCTAGTTTAAAAGTTAGAGATTCAATACCTGACTAATGGCACTTTCCTATAGAAATTTAGATGAAATGTTTCAAAAAATGAAATCTCAAGAGTAAAGTAAACCTTCACTCTTCTTCCCAGTGTCCTTGGCCTAAGAAGGTAGCCTACACAATACCAAAACATAAACATAACACCAACCCAGCCACAAAACTTTTGTTCTACAATGATGTCCCGTCTGCAAGGTATGCAAAGGCAACAGAAGAACAAAGCTTTTGTGAGTAACCAAACAAAGCTTGATTTGATGTAAGATCCACTCCAGGAGATGGAACACAGCAAAAAAAGTTGTGATAAAATGAGTCTGATATTCTGCTATACTCATAGAGCATTACCCTCTTTAGTCATCATCAGAGAAGTTTCTTCCAGCCCCAGATGGAAACAAATACAGAGACCCACAGCCAGCCAGGCACTCCATAGAGAGAAAGAAAGAGAAACCTCGGAACATGAAAACATCTTCAAGAAAGTGCCTTCTTATTTTGTACGTAAGTGTTCCCTTGAGCCATCAGAGACGCAAAGCAGTAGGCTAAGCCACATTATTAATTTAAGAGATAGAGTAAGAAGTCAACAGCAGTCTGTGTGCTGAAAGTTGTATGTGGCCACAGTTTTCAAAGCATGCAGATGGAGAGGGACTTGAGAAAACATGACAGAATATTTTCACCAGCTAAATTACTCCTCTGACTGCTCCCAAAATGCTAACCATTCATCTCTGAATATTCTTGGTGGGGGGACACTTTCTGTTCATTTTATGTGTTAAGTTAGCTTAGGAGGGGTTGGGTTTACTTGAGATGTTTTCATGTGTATGTAATAACGCCTTGTCGCCATCACTCTCCTACGACTTCCCCTCCTCATCCCCCATCAACCTGTTCTTCCCCCAACGGTTGCCAAGCCTTCTGTGTTCGCGTCATGTGAACATCATTGCTATCTCTTTCTTCCCCCCCCACGCGTTTTCTACTTTTATGACTTAGGCATCTAAACACAGACACATCCCCACCGTCACATCACTTATATCCCGCTTGCCTTCAGACAGGTTGGGCTGGATAGTTTTGTGTCCAAATGACACAAACTACAGTCATAGGAGAGGAGGGAAACTCAATTGAGCAAATGCCTCCGTGAAATTTGGGCTATAGGTCGGGCATTGGGAGGCAGAGGCAGGCGGATCTCTGTGAATTCGAGGCCGGGCTGGACCGACAGCCTCCAAAACAATACAGAGAAACTATGTCTCATGAAAACAAACAAACAAACAAAAAAAAACAGGTCATCCAAACTAAACATCAGGATTCACTTTGGCGCTAAGCCACGCTATAAATCAAACGGACTTCACAGATAGAGCAGTAGAGCTGAGCATCTTCTCTAACGCATGACAAATGCTGGAAATGCCATTTAAAATGACACCTGCTTTTGCTCATTTAAAATTTCTAGATGCTTCCAGCGGTATTCAAAGTGAAGCATTGCAGTTCCTTTACTTACCTGAGTACTGTTGGGGTCAGCTCCTGAGTGTAGATTACACTTATGCATGTGAAAGCTGCAAAAAATCCTCTTCCCAAAAAGAAAATAATAAGGCGCAGGATATGCATCTCTGCAAACAAAGTGAAGGGGAGAAAACGATTGTTTTATCAATATTTATTGGTGTCTAAATTAAAAGAATTACAAATATCTTTTCAGAGTATTAAACACTAAGCCATTATCTGGAATCACACACTGTTTTTTTATTGAAAATATATTCTGATTATATTCCCTCCCTTAATTCCCCCTAGGTCCCCTCTACATCCCCACCCATCCAGATCCACACCCTTTCTTGTCCTCTCTCGTTAGAAACAAAATAGATGTCTGAAAAATAAGACAGGAAAAACAATAAAATAAAAACAAACCTGCATATGAGAAAAATAAACAAATCAACAAAAACTCTATTTTTAAAAAATTGAGATGTCATGCTTAAAATGAACTTGTCTCAACATAATGAAAGCCATATATGAAAATCCACTGCCAACATCACTTTCATTGATGAAATATGAAATGTTCCTCAAAGATATGGAGCAATATATGGGAGCTCCAAAAGAGTGAAAATGGAACCTACAGAATGAGAACAAACACGTATCTGACAGTTACACGATATTAAAGAACTTCTACAACTGTGCAGCAAAATTTCAAATGCCTTGGGTGAAAAATGGGCAAAGACAGCAACTGAAATAGGAACAGAATACTTAGAAACGAGAGTGGTAATAGATCATCATTCTAGGTCGATGACATCCTAAATGAATGTGTCCTGTGGAAATGAGCAGGCCATCTCAAGGACTGCCTCAGACCCATGACAAAACAGGAAAGCCTACCTCCCATGGAGGGCGAGACTCTCAGAGACAGCAAAGGCTTCCTCTAGACTGTGAGAAAATGTTGATAGTGTGTGCAGGAAGTGTCCACCATTGCTTTCTCCCTCCAAGATATGCATGGCCTGAAGACTCTCTTCTGCAGAGGGTGATCCTACAGAGGTTAGCCAAACCTACCTTCTTATTTAGCTGCACATATTTACCCTGCCTCCATGTTTGTCTGTATGTGATAACCCCACATGCTTGTCTAGCTGCATGTAATCACCCTACCTCTGTGTTATGTATGCAATAAACACAGTGAGTTCTTAAGGTGCTGCAGTTTCACCATCAAAGAGCACAGTCTACCTGATCCCAGCTTTGTGTGTGTGTGTGTGTGTGTGTGTGTGTGTGTGTGTGTCTGACTGTCTGCTTCTCTGTTATTTCTTCAATCCTGTGTCACCTCAGTCAGGTAAAGCCCCTGAAATCTGCACAAGTATATAGCAAAATTGGAAGGCCTATTTGGTAAGTAACTGCTGGGAAGAAGTTTGATCTCTGACATATGATAGTTGATAGAAATTCTTCTGTATGCATAGCACTAAAGGGACAAATAAGACATTATCTCTGGAATTAACTATGGTCTTAAATATAGCATACTCAGAGAACAAACATATACTTTTTCCCCTGTCTTGAGCATGAGAAACAATTTCTTCCTTATCTTATACATTTTACATGTGAAACACATACTAAAGTAGTTGACAGATGCAAAACATGTAAGTCTTAACTTTTACTGTTTGTCATAAAATTCCCCTCCTTGCCATTTTAAAATGCAATCTCTCTAAAATAGTTTCATAAAATATTAAGGATCTTACTTTGCATCAGTGAATCTCCAAGTCTAAGAATTGGTTTCCAGAATATTTCTTTAATGCTTACAGTTACAGTTTAAATGTGAAATGATTCCTCACAGGTTCATGTGCTTGAAGACTTGTTCCACACCTCATGGCACTGTTAAAGAAGGGTGTGGAAGCTTCAGGTGGTTGACTATGTCCCTGGAGGAAGCGCATCATTGGAGATTCGAGGTTAATAGCCCAGTCCCCTCTAGGTTTCTTACTACACTGAAATGGTAGAAGGTAAAGACTTCTAGTCACACACTTTCATGCATCAACTGGCCAACGTGTCTTCCCCACACATGTTCATGCATCAACTGGCCACCACGTCTTCCCCATCATGGTGGTGGCTATCTCAACTTGAACCATCAGAGAAAATAAACCTCTTAGTTACTTCTTGTCAGGGACTAGTCACCACCAAACATCAAAAAGGAGCTAATGGGCATTACACACCCTATTTTCTCTTTCTAAGGAAACTTCCATTCACCTGATCCTACCTGTCTCCAGTGTATACTAATCACAGCCCGTGGTTTCAACTTTACATTATTTATATAAATACTCCAACAGTGTCCAATTAGAAGCCTGCCTTTTCTATTAGTGACAAGCTTCTATAGAATACTTACTAGACTAAGATAATGATATACACATTAACCAATTCCTCCTCATCCCTTACCCCCTCATTATTTACAGGTTGTTAACACAATGACACCAATTTTCTAAACCACAGATCCTCCTTCCACTTCTTAATACATCTTTTTGTGCATTTCTTCACCAAATAAACTACTTGTTTGTAGTCACTGCCCTTCCCTCATGATATCTTCATGACAAGCATATATTGTTAATATAGACCTGTTTTTTTCATAATTGATAATACACAATGAATTCCTAGTTAAATTTGGTGTAGAGCTTGCAAATTTAAAAGACCCCATTAAGTTGTAATTCTTACTATTGAGGAACTCACAGTCTTTGAAATGTCCAATCATAGAAACATAGGACTGGTGAGAAGACTTAGCTGGTAAAGGTGCCGTCAAGCCTTAGGACCTGTTTTGGTCCCGAAGCCCCCGTAGTGGAAGGAAAGAACCAGCTACTGCAAGCTCTTCTTTGACCACTACGTGTCCACTGTGGGGCACATCATTTTCCACATAGAAATTTTTGGGCTCAGGTCCCCTCTTCCTAGTCTTAACATGGTACAAGAATTCACCATGCAATCCATACATATAATCTCTTCTGTAGTCATTTTTCTTATCCTGAAATTTACCTAGAAATAAATCTCATAAGAGAGAGTAATACATTTTGACTTTGATTGTCAACTGTCTTCTTTTGGAAATATTACTTGTAATGATTGTATCCCTTCTCCTGTCTTCATATAAATAAGTAAGTGAATGGATCTTAAAACATGAAATTTCTTTTAGAATAAATAATTAGGGAGCTGGGAAAACAGTTCAGCAGTTAGGAGAACCTACTGCTCTTGCAGAAGGCCAGAAATCTTTCCCAATACCCACATCACACACCTTATGACTGACTTCCTATAACTCCATATCTAGGCTACCCAGTGTGTCTGTCCTCCTAAGTCATCCACAGTCACCTACCTACACATTCATACGTAGCATGAACATGCGCATAAGTGCACACACATACACAACTATATAAAATAAATATTTAAACAAACGCGGTCTAGTGCTCGTCTATGCATGTATACATGGATACACATTTATAATAAGATTCTAAACACTGAGGAAATCTCACCTTCAGGAACAAATATGGTGATGATAACACAACTTCCAGTTACAAGGAGTGAAAAAGCAATTGAAAGTCGACGTCTTATGTTTCTTAATATAAAAAGTGTCAGTGATTTGCTTGATATGTCCACCACGCCTAGAAGAAACTGATTCAGGAAGATGTTCTTTCCCAAAATTTGAATATCCAGAATGATGACATAAGCACTGAACATTTCTGCAAAACTGGAAGAAAGCATATAGAGGCATTCAACCCACTGAGGCATCAAAACATTTTATTATGGTGTGTGTGTGTGTGTGTGTGTGTGTGTGTGTGAGTGTGTTTACTTGGATCATTATTTCCTTCAAAGATACAACTAGACCTAAATATTCCAAGTATTAAGTAAAATAGAGTTTTATAATATCACAGAAGCTACTTAGAAAAAAACATGAAATAACATATTGATAAAAATTATCCACAAGTTGAATATAGTTCATAGAAGTAAATTTATATTGAGAACATTCTTAACTTAGTCCACTGCTCTTCAACTGAAGTGGGATGGGATAAAAAGATGCATAATTTCTAGAAAATCATATTTGTTTGGAGTTTAACATCTTTAAGAAACATTGCCTTATAGTTTTGTTAAAATTAAAATATAATGCACTATGAAATAAGCCTCCTGAAATTTTCAAAATTGTGATAATTTTTACATTTGAAATTATTATGCTATATATATCCATTATAATGGCTATATATAATAATTAATTGTGCATAACACATACAATGTAATAGAACAAGTTAATATACATGAGCAATGGACCAATGTATGTACTGGTATACTTATTAGATCATTTAAAAATTTTAATAATAAAATTTTATGATTATAAGCTCCTTCAAAAATTAGTTTTCTGAATTCATTTTACATATAAGCTAAGAAACATAGATTTCTATCATTTCATCACATATCACACCAACTTAAATTGACTTAAATGATGTTATTTTATGCCTAGGTCTCTTTCCTGCATGTATCTCTGTATGTGCAGAGGTTGGAGAGTGTGTGTTGGATCCTCTAAAACTGGAGTTTCAGACAGTTGTTAGCTGCCATATGGGGGCTGGGAACCAAATGCTGGTCCTCTGGAAGGGTAACAAGTGTTTTCAATTAGTTACCTAAATAATCGAAAAAAGAAATATAGTCATGAGTATTAACTCAAAATGGAAGGAATAAGGATAATTTAAAAATCAATGTAGCAGTGTTTTCATTTAATATGTACTTTTTACAAGAGACTAAACCACTTCAAAAATAAGCTTGTCTCTTCATTTTTCTACTGTTTGGGAGATAGTAACTTCTTTCTTTAAAAAGCATAAAGTTGTGGTGATATTTTTTAATCATTTTTTATTTTAATTTTAAATAGCTTGTGTAGGAGGAAGTCTGATGCCGCCATTAAACATGTGACTTACTAGAGGCGCATACAGATGAGGTAATAAAAGGGCGGTTTACCACACCGCTAACCACACCCACTTTAGGCAGGACTAAAGACGTATACGGCTGGACGTGAAGATGTATACATACGTAGGCGGAACTACGTCACTAGCCAAGCCCACTTTTGGGCATGGCTAGGGGCGTTACGGGGAAGGCATAAAAGACAGCGCACAGGAAGTCTCGCTCTCTTTTCCTGGAGTTCGGCTTCCGGTCCAGTCGCTAGCTGAGATCTGCTGGGCTTCTTGGGGTTTGGTATCGTGTGAGTAATTTTCAACATAAAATACTTAGCTTCACTTTCCGTAATTGTGTGTCGCGTATCGTTACAGCGTCCGTAAAGCCAACAGTTTGGTGTCAGGAGTGGGATTGGAATCGGGACCCAGGGCTTCTCTCGGCCCGACCAGGCACACGTGGACTCTCCTTTCGCTAAGTTCCTCACTACTTCGCTCGGCAAGGCACGATTCCTGCCGCCAGGAACCAGCACCTTCTACCTGCCGGTAAGGTTAGGTATTCCAAGGTTTCTCTCGCGGCCACGTGCTGTTTTACTGGCGGCCAGCTGACTCCGGCCACGTGCTCTTTCGCTGGCAGCCTGTTGATTTCGGCCTGAATTACTCCATTGGTAACAAACGTAACTGCTTTATACAATGTCAACAGCTAACACTATGATGCAGGATGTTAAGAATTTTCTTGTTTTTTGTATGGATGGGATTTTAGAAAGGGTTGAGGACCTACCTGAAAGGTGCTTCCTACCCATGATGGTGATTATTAGCTTCATAATCAATATAATTTTGTTAATGAAATGGCTCAAAAATAGGAATAAACTTATACAGGTCATGCAGTCATCGCAGGATAGTTTTGAAATCTTAATACAAAGGATTCAGGAAATGCAAAATTCATTGCAGGAGAGTAAGAAAGGGTTGGTAGAAAATATTCAGGATATTAAAAATGATAATGTAGGTCTGACGAACAGGTTTAAAGAGACGGAACACAAAATTGAATTATTTTCAGGAAAAATGTGTTCCATAGATAGAATTGAAAAATTGGAACATAATGTGGAAATATTTAACGACAAACACGGTTCCATGTTTGATGATTTCACTAGCAAATTACAAAGACTGGAACATAAAATTGAAATGCTAGCAGAAAAGAATTGTTCCATGTCTGAGAGCAATGGTAAACTAACTGATAGAATATCATTTGTTGAAGGCAGTTTACATGCTATTGAGGTACTTGCTAAGGATGAGAATATTAGAAATTTGGAATCACATGTAAATGATGAATGTAAAAAAATGAAAGATTCCATGACATCCTTAGAAAATCATTTGTCCCAAGAACTTCAAGAGCTCAGAGAAACAATGATGAATAGACTGCAGGACTTAGAAGACGCTCAATCTGATACTTCAGAATCAGAAATACAGGCAACAGGTCAGGACAGGAGTTTCCCAAAGCTTCTCAAATGCCGGAATGATTTCCCTAAGGTTGCTATGCGTTCCCCTATGGTTTTTCCAGTATCTGTATCAGAAAAACCAGCAACGAAAAAACAATCAAATGGTCCCATTGCTTATCACTGGGAGCCTATACAGATGAAGGATCTAAAAAATATTAAGGAGGCCATTGTCATGTATGGTCTTCATTCTCCCTTTGTCAGAGAGCTCCTAACCTCATGGGCTACTGTAAATAAAGTAACCCCAAAAGACTGGGCCCAATTAGCCTCTGCAGTACTCGAAAATTCTTGCCAAATTCAATGGAGAGCTTTATGGAGGCAAGAAGCAAAAGCAATTGAGATTCAGGAATTGCAGAAGGGTCATGAAGTACCCCAAGACAAGATTCTTGGGGAGGGTCCTTACGCTGACACGCAGGTTCAATCTGCATATGACGAGCACATGTTGTCTTTGTGCCGTACAGCTGCTTTAAATGCCTTGGATAAGGTTTGTGAAACAGGAGAGATAATGCAACCCTACACCAAGGTATTACAGGGCCCAAGGGAAAGGTTCACTGAATTTTTAGAGAGATTATCCAGAGCAGTAGAGGTACAGGTAGCGAACCCAGAATCCAGGCGTCTTCTTATAGAATCTTTGGCGTATGAGAACGCGAATCCTCAATGCAGGCAGGTAATTTGGCCATTAAAAATAAGATCAGCGCCATTGGAGGAATGGGTTCTGCATACAGCGAACCTGGAATGTAAAAGTCAGGATACAGGAGCTTGGGTAGGTGAAGCTATTTCTACAGGTTTGAGGAGGCACCAGGATGCCAAATACCCTACCTGTGATGATATAGAGGCATGGGTAGGGAAGGCAATCTCAAAGAATTTAAATAGGCGTAAAGATGCAAAATGCTTTAACTGTGGTAGAATAGGACATCTTAGTAGGAACTGTAGACAACGCATTCCTAGAAATAATGCTTTTACCAGGAATATATCAAACAGAAGGCCTAAGCCTCCTGGTCTATGCAGGAGGTGTGGGAAGGGGCGCCATTGGACTGATGAATGCTTTTCCACAATAGACAGACAAGGTAGATCTTTGCAGCAGGGAAACGGGCTTCCGGGGCTCCATGGAGCCCCGAAAAGGAAGATTATCCGGTCATTCCCAGTGACAATGGAGGACAGCCTCTCCCAGGACAATTAGAAAAGGAAGATTATCCGGTCATTCCCAGTGACAGTGGAGGACAGCCTCTCCCAGGACAATTAGAAGATCCACTGCCCATTGTAAATAATACGGCACTGGATAATACATTAGCTCCAGAGGATGAATCAATTACATCAGGAGGAGATACAAAACATATATTTTGGCAAACTTCTATACAATATCATAGACCCAAACTTCCGGTTAAGGTAAATAATAGGGTGATTTACGGATTACTGGACACCGGAAGTGACGTCACTATCCTTAATCAGCAGTCCTGGCCACAAAACTGGGCTTTAAAAGAGGTTAATGTTCAATTCTTAGGGATCGGAACCCTATCTGAAGTTAAACAGAGCGTTAGATGGATTGACTTTATTGGGCCAGAAGGACAGAGAGGAAGGTTAAAGCCATACGTTGCAGATATTGCTATAAACCTCTGGGGTCGTGATCTACTCCAGCAATGGAATACGCAGATTAAAATTCCTCCTGTATCAGCTAGGAATTATAGACAAGCTCTTAGTGGTAGTAAGAATATAGTAAGACAGTACAGAAAACAGATGCCAAACGTACAGGCTGTGCAGAAGCAAGATGCTAGTGCCAAACCTACAGAGCAACCAAAAGCTCTACCATTAAAATGGCTGACAGATGAACCCGTCTGGGTGGGTCAATGGCCTATGACATCTGAGAAGTTAGAGGCTTTGGAGAAGTTAGTTCAGGAACAGCTAGATGCTGGACACATTGAGGAATCAACTAGTGCGTGGAATTCGCCTGTTTTTGTTGTCAAGAAGAAGTCTGGTAAGTGGAGAATGGTTACTGATCTTAGAGCCATCAACAAGGTAATTCAGCCTATGGGGTCTCTACAACCTGGGATGCCGTTACCTTCTCTAATTCCTAAGGATTGGCCAATTATAGTCATAGACTTAAAAGATTGTTTCTTCACCATACCGTTACAAGAAAACGACAGAGAAAAGTTTGCCTTCACAGTACCTACCTATAATAATTCCCGTCCGGTACAGAGATTCCAGTGGAAGGTACTACCTCAAGGTATGTTAAACAGTCCAACTTTGTGTCAATATTTTGTGAATAAACCTCTAGAAATAATTCGTAAAAAATTTCCACATTCGTTAATATATCATTATATGGATGACATATTATTGTCTGATTCAAATAAGGATACTTTGGAAAAGATGTTTGAGGCAGTAAAGGAAATTTTGCCTCGCTGGGGATTACAAATTGCCCCAGAAAAAATACAAAGAGGAGATTCTATTAACTATTTAGGTTATAAAATAGATGCTCAGAAAATTAGACCACAGAAAGTACAGATCAGAAGAGATCGTTACCGGACTCTTAATGATCTTCAAAAACTATTAGGAGAAATCTCTCAATTACAGACGATTATTGGTGTAGAAGGGCATGATTTAAAACACCTGAAAATGGCTTTAAAAGGAGATAAAGACCTAAACAGCCCACGAGTACTATCAGCTGAGGCTGAAAAAGAATTAGAATGGGTAGAAAAGAGAATATTAGAAGCACATGTGGACCGTGTGGATCCAAATCTGGACTGTATTCTGGTTATTTTACCATCTAGAGAATACCCCTCAGGAATATTAATGCAGAGGGATGACATCATTCTAGAATGGGTATTTCTGCCACATAAACAAAATAAAAAATTGAAAACATATATAGAAAAGATATCTGATTTGATATTAAAAGGTAAATTAAGGCTTCGTCAACTGACTGGGAAAGACCCAGCTGAAATTATTGTACCTTTAACGAATGAGGAAATTTCCTCCTTATGGAAGGATAATGAGTATTGGCAAATAGCTTGCAGTGACTTTTTGGGAAGTATTAGTAATAACTATCCCAAAACAGAGAGAATCAAATTCATAAAGAAAACAATTTGGATTCTTCCACGTATCGTGAGGCAAACACCTATTTCTGGAGTTCTTACCTTCTACACGGATGCAAACAAATCAGGTAAAGCAGGGTATAAATCAGGAAAAATAAGTAAAGTTGTTCAAAGCCCTTACAACTCCGTACAAAAGGCAGAGTTATATGCCATTCTGATGGTACTTAAAGACTTTACAGAGCCTCTCAATATAGTCACGGATTCTCAGTATGCAGAAAGAGTTGTCCTGCACATTGAGACTGCAGAATTTGTTCCTGATAATACAGAATTAACCTCATTGTTTTTACAATTGCAGGAAATCATCAGAAACAGGACTCATCCTATATATATAACACACATCAGATCCCATACAGGTCTGCCAGGTCCTCTGGCACAAGGCAATGATGAAATTGATCGTTTATTAGTAGGTAATGTGTTGGAAGCTTCAGAATTTCATAAGAAACACCATGTTAACAGCAAAGGTTTAAAGAAGGATTTTTCTATTACCTGGCAACAAGCCAAAGAAATAGTAAGAAATTGTCCCAGTTGCTCATTGTACAATCAAACTCCATTACCAGCAGGTTGTAATCCTAAAGGTGTTCACAGAAATGAACTTTTGCAAATGGATGTATTTCACTTCCCAGAATTTGGCAGTTTGAAATATGTACACCATACTATAGACACGTACTCAGGCTTCCAATGGGCTACTGCCCTCAGCTCTGAAAAAGCTGACTCTGTTATTACACACCTCTTAGAGGTAATGGCTGTTATGGGTATACCTAAAACAATAAAAACTGACAATGGTCCAGCATATGTCTCCAGTAAATTGGAACAATTCTTCAAATATTATAATATAAAACATGTAACTGGTATACCTTACAATCCCACAGGACAAGCAATAATTGAAAGGTCTAACCGAACCTTAAAGGAGATGCTTCATAAACAGCCAGGGAAAACAAAGACACCTAGACACAGGTTACACAATGCTTTACTAACGTTGAATTTTCTTAATGCTGATGAAAAAGGACAAACTGCAGCAGAAAGACACTGGACTACAGAGAAGACTTCTGAACTGAACCAACCGGTGTATTTTAAGGATGTTATGACCTCAGTCTGGAAACCAGGATATGTGTTACGTTGGGGAAGGGGTTATGCTTTTGTTTCCACAGGAGAAGAAAAGATTTGGGTTCCATCAAAATGAATTAAAATTCGATCAGAACAGAAAACATTTCAGGAGGAGGAAGATAACAGCCCATCTACAAATTCATAGTCCACCATGGGTAAAGGGACCTCCTAAAAGGAAAGAGAAGTGTTTTGTTTTTTGTATTCACAGGTAAACTCAGCAAAGAATACTGGACATATGGATTCCTGTAGAAGAATGAATAGCTACCCTGAGGACCATCAAACACACACTGTGTGGTATCAAAGTCTAAATCTCTCTATATTGCTTCTTCATAGTATCCTTTTATCTTTATTTCTTCACATACCTCAATTCCCATTCATTTAACTGAAGCTGGCTTTGGAGTTGGATTGGCTCTCCTACTCTAAACCCAAGCATGTTATTTAAATACAATTCAGAATTTCTGTATTATATCAAAGAGCCATTGATATAAGACAGAAGAAATAAAATGAGGGACTATTATCTGTGGATTTCTTTTTCTGAACAGTCTAATTTCCTCCAGGTTTTCCATCTTCCCTATTGTCACCTCTTCTGTATGCATACATATGAAAGTTAAAATATTTCTTTGTTAACATTAATGTTTGAGTTTTCCAGAGAACAAGGGATTTCCTGACAGCAATCTTCAACTGCTTCCGAAAGAGAATGAGGATCCACTTCCTTGACTTCACCTGATTCGACTGGAGGCATCCGAATTGCCCCACATCATTGACTCCACCTGACAAGCACTATCCTGAAACTGGCTTGAAACTACATCACTCGACACAACTCCAGACCAAGGAACGGAAATAGCACATCTTCTACAATCTGACCAGAGCTTCAATCAACACTAGAACCCCAGTCAGGAACTTCAATCAAGCATCTCCTGCCATACTGAGACTGTCTGATCTACTTAGATTTTATTATACTAACATTTTCTTTTCACAGGTCCCCATGAGATTATCATCGTCCCATCTCAGCAGGAAGTAGTTTTGAGAATTCCACGCCCCCTTTCCCTACTATTGATATTATAAGTTTACACCTGTTAGTGTTAGTTTTCCATTATTTTAGAGTTGGGATTGGAAGGAGGTGTTCATATTTGGGTGTTTCTTTAAGATAAGTTTAGGTTTAGATAGAATAGATGTTTGATACATTTTGTTCATGGACACAAGTTAGTTGTCCTTTTTTAGACTAAAAGGGGAATTGTAGGAGGAAGTCTGATGCCGCCATTAAACATGTGACTTACTAGAGGCGCATACAGATGAGGTAATAAAAGGGCGGTTTACCACACCGCTAACCACACCCACTTTAGGCAGGACTAAAGACGTATACGGCTGGACGTGAAGATGTATACATACGTAGGCGGAACTACGTCACTAGCCAAGCCCACTTTTGGGCATGGCTAGGGGCGTTACGGGGAAGGCATAAAAGACAGCGCACAGGAAGTCTCGCTCTCTTTTCCTGGAGTTCGGCTTCCGGTCCAGTCGCTAGCTGAGATCTGCTGGGCTTCTTGGGGTTTGGTATCGTGTGAGTAATTTTCAACATAAAATACTTAGCTTCACTTTCCGTAATTGTGTGTCGCGTATCGTTACAGCGTCCGTAAAGCCAACAAGCTTGTTTTACATGTCAATCCCAGTTCCCTTTCCCTCCCCTCCTCCCGCACTCCCCTTCCCCCCCCAGCCTCCCACCCTATTGCCAATTCCTTCCACATAGGGGATATCTAGAGTCTGTCATTTCACTCGGGGTAGGGTCCAGGCATTCCCCTAAGAGTCCAGGCTAAGAGAGCATCCCTCTTTGTGCTATGGGCACACGATGACTGTTTGTATTCCAGGGATAGACACTGATCCACTGCTCAAGGCCCCATAGGCTGCACAGGGGAGAGCTCTTGGACCCCAGACTGACAGCGGGGAGGCTAACATGGGACTGATCTGGACCCCCCCCCCCAAATGTGAGTGTCAGTAAGTTGTGGTGATATTTTGCTTGTGCAAATAAAACCTGTCTGGGGGCCAGAAAATGGAGCTTGCCACTAGCTAACCATAGAGGCCTATAGGTCTGTACAGACTGACAGGAAGTGAAGTGACTGGATAGAAACAGGAAGTGATATGGCTGGGCACAGACAGGAAGTGAGATGGCTGGGTAGAGAGGATCGAGGCAGGAAGAAACATGAACTTGCTCTCTTGTCTGCTGAGGCACTAGAAGGTAAGGTGTGACTGTGGCTTGCTCCTTCTTCCCTCTGATCTCTCAGCATTTTCCTCTATGTCTGACTCCGGGTTTTTACTATTTAGACTAATGAAGAACTCCTTTTACATAAAGTTATGGTACTTTTAACATATCTTTGAATGTTTTTGTATTACATTTCAGTTTTAGCATATATAACAGCCTGTTCGTCCAGATTATTTAATGTGTTTAGAATGTACAAATGCTAAAGAATTATGTTTCTGGAGAGTTCCTCTGATGCCTGTTCATCTATTTATCTAATACTGTGGTGAGAAGTATGAAGCTGTTTTTAGTGATGGTTTTCCGTATAGAAAAGCCTGGGCTCCAAATCTGCCTCTTGCAGCCCTTCATCTAGTCTAAGAGTTTATTGTGCAATGTGTACATGTTTAGGAGAGTCAATAATTTCTCCTGAGGTCATTCTTCTTGTCCTAAAATTTAGACTAGGAGTAAATTCACTGGAAAATAAGTGTAATTTTAACTTGGGTTGTCTTATGGAAATGTATTATCACTTGCAATGATCTGTCTGTCTCTCCACTGTTTTCATGTAATTGCCCAATGTGCTGCAAAGATGCACATTTGGAACAACCGAAGATCACAAAGGCCAAAAGTTCATGCTGCTTGGTCTTGAGCTCTTTTAATTTCGTGTTTACATTTCTACAGTCCCTGTAAATTGCAAACATCCCATGAAGCATTAATAAAAAACAAACACGATCCACATAAGTTGTTTTTATCTTTCCCCACAATATTTGTATTTTGGTCTTGAATAAAGGGAGGGATGTTTGTTTACCCCAGACATTCCTCCAAGGGTATAGCATGATGCTGAAGCAGCTGACTGTGCTAGAAGAGGAAGGGGTAAACTACTCACATTACACTGGAAAGACAAAGCACTATTTTACGAAGAGTGGGATTAATAATGATGTCCTTCATTCGGGACTGTTTGCTGGTTGAATTTCCATCTTCCTTAATTTCAGATAGCAAAGCCTTCATGAAATAAAAGATCGAGTCAAAATACTTAGGTTGAATAAAAGTTTGAAACAAATCCTCACAAATTAAACTCCATTCCTCTATGCTGTCATATACCACCAATAATTTCCTCACAAACCAGAGCAGCATGGATTATACCCAAACCATCCAAAAGGAAAGTAGGACTGGCAAAATTGTTGAAGGTGAAAGTTCTTCCCAGCAAGCCTGATGACTTATCTTCAACCCTAGTACCCACAGTTCAAGTCTAAAACTGACTGTCGCAAGTTGTCTTCTGACCTCTTGGTACTCTTCCTGGAAAGTGCACAACCCAACACATGTACACAAAATAAGAAATAAATGCAATTGATGTTTTAAAAAAATAAATAAAAAGATGGAGCTAAATTTTAAAATGTTTAAATGAACAAGCATATATTATATGTTATGAAAGGTTTCCTAATAAAAATTAAAGAAATTACTTTCTAATAATTCATGGATTATTTGTTTCTTATTAACAACTATTGGTACAGTCTGGTCTGAAACAGTTATAACTGGCTAAGTGGTGCTCAAAATGAGTGACAATTATCAAACACTACCGAAGAATCCCCACTGTACTAATTACATGTCATCAATTAATAGCTGCTTCATGGTGAATCAAGTCATGTACCTAGCTAACTAGCTACTAGAAAGATCCCAGTTAACTTTTTATTGTTTCATTCCTATTAATTTTATGTGAATTATTTGTGTGTGTGTATGTGTGTGTATTCCTGTACATATAAACACCATAAACTCAGTACCTATAACATTGTCTGGGTGCATATGACCTCAGGGATGAGTACTTGGTACTGAATATCTAATTGAGACAGGGGAATCTTCCCAAGAGGAGATCATTTCTCCATGGTACATTTTTAAAATAAAATTCTTAAAAACGACCTTTTTTGATCACCTTTTCCATTTAGAAAATGTTAAAACATGCACATAGACTGTAATGTATTACTAGGTTAAAAATCATGTTACTAAGTCTGTGCACCCTCTTCCCTTCCATGTCCAGGGTGTTGCACACACTGTGGACTTAGGAAACACCTGAACACATCCCTCTACTCACTTCCTTTCACCCTTTCAACATAATCTTAAGATAAGGCTGAGAAATCACAAATTTCAGGAATATTTTTAAAGGGCACTTGTACATCCATGTTCACTGCTGGCAAATTTTTAATATGTTCTTAATGCAGTTTCAGAGACTTCCAATACAGGATAGGCTGTGGATGTTGCCTTTGTTGCCCCTTAGAGGTTGAAGGCAATTCCATATTGCTGTAGACATCATGCATTTTGCACATAGGACTTAGTGAATCTGAACCAGAAATAACCTTAATACATCTCTAACAATTTTGGCTTAGGGAACATCAAGGAAGAGGGAGAGAGAGAAAAGATAATAAGAACCAGAGGGTCAGAAAGTCTGCTGTGCTAGTGTGTCTCATGGAAATAACAGGGGAGCATTACCCATGATACCTGAACAATATGGCTGCCTATATAAGACCAGGACTAGAACAGCATCAGTAGACACGCTGACATGTCTTTCACAAGGCCCACCAAGACAAAAAGCCTTAGGCGAGGAATTCTGAAAGTGGAAGAAATAATAATCTCCATGGAATGACTTTCCTAATGGTTATACAATACTATATGTTCATCCTTGAAATCATATACATGAAACAGTAAATAGACCGAACAGATTGTACTGATATATTCAGGTGTAAATATGTAGTAACAACAATTAAAGAAAAAAGAGACAACAAATTCAAGACAGAGTTGGATGGGATTTTCATTGGAGGAGTTGGAGGGAGGATATTGAAAGGGGAAATGATATATTTTAATTAAAAAGAATTTTTAATAAAAATCTTTTTAATATGAGCTATCTCATATTCTTCTAGTTATTGGATATGTCCTTCTGTGTATATATATATTTTTTCTTGTAGGTTGATGAATAAAACACTGATTGGCCAGTAGCCAAGCAGGAAGTATAGGTGCAGCTACCAGGACTTTGGGGGAGGACATAGAGAGTGAACCACCAGAGAGATGCTATGTAGCCACCAAAGTAGTACCAGGTTTGGGCATTATCCAGTAAGATAAGGCCATTTAGAAATGCATAGATTAATAGTTATGGGCTATTAATTAAGAAGTGCTGTCTAGTAAGAAGCCTAAGCCATCAGCCAAACAGTTTGTAATTAATATAAGCCTTTGTGTGTTTATTTGGGCCTACACATCTGTGGGACTAGGTGGGACAGAAACTCTGTCTATGAGGTAATAATAATATGTCTTTAGTGTAAGTCTATCCCAAATTCCTCTAGTTATTGGTTACGTTTATAATTTCATTGTGTTTTTATTAGTTGATAACAGTGAGAAATTTAAAGATAATAATAACATATTTCTAGTACCTCAGAAGTTAGATTATGTGCAATGTCTTTCTTTCCATTGATGGAGGCAATTCTTTGTAGTTCCTTTATTGCTTGTTCTGTTTTCCCAGTGGCCATTAGCCACCTGACTGATTCTGGCCCCCAACTGTTTAAAAGATGAATAGAAAGGAAGGTCATATTAAGGTCCAAAGACAGGTCCAAGAAAAGAAAAATCTTTCAGCTATGATCCCTTCTGCCAATACAGAACATACCAAGATTTAACCAACCTTCAATTTCTTCATGAACCCCAGTTATACAATGTTCCTAAGCCTTTTAATATGTTTTCACAGCTAGGAAAACAACAAAATTTTTATTTTTACAGAGGAGTAAAGATTCCATTATTCAAAATCCAAGTGTGTTTCATGGTATTCTAATTCAAAAAGTTCTGCTACTTCAATATGTGACGCTAAATTGAGATTCACATGTTTTAAATACAAAATGTTATCTATTCCAAATTAAAAGTACTACTAAATTTTATATTACTTATTTAAAGCAGTATCTTATGCTTTATTCCTGAGAAGGCTAATTACTGTTTGAAAAAATACAGGAATAGTCGCTGTCAGAAAAAAAACAGACTATTTTACATCTCCTTAAAAAGGGATTTAAAAAGATCTACTTTCAATCATCTCTGACCTTGGCTGCCATGTCAGTGGATTCTTCCTGTGGCTTGAATCAAACGAAAAGCCAAGTGATACAGAAGATGAAATTTTGAGCCACCATTCACTTAATTTTATAAATTTTACTGATTTTTTTCTCTAAGTCTTCTAAACTTATTTTTCTCTGAATATAGTATCTAAAATGGCACAAAATAAATACGTGAATGGCAAAACGTTCCTCAGTAGACGCAGCAAGGCCACCAAGCGTTACAGCCATTGGAGTCTAACTGTGCAGTGCATGTGTCAAAGCACACATACTAGAGTCTAACGGTGCAGTGCGTGTGTCAAAGCGAACATACCAGAGTCTAACTGTGCAGTGTGTGTGTCAAAGCGAACATACCAGAGTCTAACTGTGCAGTGCGTGTGTCAAAGCGAACATACCAGAGTCTAACTGTGCAGTGCATGTGTCAAAGCGAACATACCAGAGTCTAACTGTGCGGTGCGTGTGTCAAAACGCACATACCAGAGTGTAAATGTGCGGTGCGTGTGTCAAAACGCACATACCAGAGTGTAAATGTGCGGTGCGTGTGTCAAAACGCACATACCAGAGTGTAAATGTGCGGTGCGTGTGTCAAAGTGCACATAGCAGAGTCTAACGGTGCAGTGCGTGTGTCAAAGCGCACATACCAGAGTCTAACTGTGCAGTGCGTGTGTTAAAGCGCACATAGCAGAGTCTAACGGTGCAGTGCGTGTGTCAAAGCGCACATAGCAGAGTCTAACTGTGCGGTGCGTGTGTCAAAGCGCACATAGCAGAGTCTAACTGTGCGGTGAGTGTGTCAAAGTGCACATACCAGAGTCTAACTGTGCAGTGCGTGTGTTAAAGCGCACATAGCAGAGTCTAACTGTGCGGTGCGTGTGTCAAAGTGCACATAGCAGAGTCTAACGGTGCAGTGCGTGTGTCAAAGAGCACATAGTAGAGTCTAACTGTGCGGTGCGTGTGTCAAAGTGCACATAGCAGAGTCTAACGGTGCGGTGCGTGTGTCAAAGCGCACATAGCAGAGTCTAACTGTGCGGTGCGTGTGTCAAAGTGCACATAGCAGAGTCTAACGGTGCAGTGCGTGTGTCAAAGCGCACATACCAGAACACGACGAAAAGAGCGAAGTGAGGCAAGGCCACGGCGAGTTGCAGCATGTGCCAGTCTGAAAGAACATACGCGAATCCCCCAAACATGGCCTGGCCGACGCTAAAGGCTAGCCCATTGAGCGTTACGATTGAGCTGTGCCACTGTGATGAGGTTTCTTCTAAAACTAAAAGAAGAAACAACAGTTTGCTGCTTTAGTGTGTTAATCCACATGTCCAATAGTCTCATGGGGAGGGAAGGGTTTCTTTCATCTTAGAGTTTATGGGCAGTCGCGAAGGGAAGTGGAGGCAGGAACCAAACAGAGGCCATGGAGCAGGACTTCTTACTAGTTGACTCCCCTCGCCTTGCTCAGCCTGTCGTCTTGAATAACCCAGGACTACCTACTCCATGGCAGTAGGACCACTCACAGTAGGCTAGGCCTTCCTAGTTCATCAATTGATCATTAATCAAGAAAATGTCCCTCATACTTGCCTGCAGTCTGTTCTGATGGGGGCATTTCAGCTGAGGTCCCCTCTTACCGTAAGAGTCTTGTGTCAATATGGCAAAGCCAACCAGCTCATTATCCAACAGAATTTAATAAAGATGACTTCAAGAACAAAAGGCAATGCATATGTACAGAGCAGGGCAAACTTACCAAGGATAAGAGAGTTGAGTAGAATATTACTTATGGAGGCAGACAACAGGGTTCTTAAAACACAGTAAAGGGTGAAATTTGGGGCAAAGGCACAGCAGGAGCCCAAAATCCCATAGAGCAAGCAAGAATACACCAATGTTGGTTTCCTTCCAAACCTATAGTAACAGTAGTTAAAGTAGTGAAAACTCCGACATTTGATCATTTACACATCATTAGCACATTCTGAGAGCCTATACCACCATAAAAAAAAAACTAAGTCACATATCTTTACATAAATATCACCATATAGTCACTGTCATTATGTATCTAATAAGGCACATTTCTCTATTTCTTATTTTGGTCAGCACACCAAGTATATTCTAAGTTCTTTAAACAATTATATTTATTTGTGTGTGTGTGTGTGTGTGTGTGTGTGTGTGTGTGTGTGAGATCATTGCAGGTACCCATGGAGACAAGAATAGGGCATCTGAAATGAAGTGTGATCCTCTGAAATATCAGCAAACACACACTTACCTACTAAGCCATCTCTCTAGCCTCACCTATTTTGCTACCATTTCTTCTTTCTTGCAAAGAATGTTCACACATACTAATTGAATTCTAACCTTCCTTATAACATGAAAAATAAAAGACCCAGAGGCAAATAATTGGGGTTCAAGCTTCATGCTGAAGATCAAAGAAGCAAAGCAGACAAGGCGGTAGATCTTAACCTCTACCCAGCTGAAATGGCAACCCTGTCTCCGTGAATCCTGAGACAAAAGCTTTTGGTTCCCGTCTCCCCCTCCTTTTATTCATTTCTCTGCCCAGCCATATCACTCCTGTCTCCAGCTCCCAAGTACTGGGATCAAAGATATGAGCTCTGTTACTCTTCTAGACTAATTCAATCTCATGTAGTCCTGGGTGGCCTTGAACTCACAGAGATCCGTCTGCCTTTGTCCTCTGAGACCTGGGTAACTAGTATGACGGCTTTGCTATTTTTATTTCCAGTGGCTTTAATAAATTATAAACAACACATCACCATACTTCCTCATTAATATTAATAACTAACATAAGTTAACAACACTAAATTATTCTAAACCCATTTGTTTCAAAGTCTTCCCCATTATTCATCTAGTTGATAAGTATTTATCTAAACTGTTCTTTAGTCTACATTTTTCTTTCTAGAAATTTTTCTGAGCAGTTAGCATACTCAAATGTTTTAGCATCCAGCCATACACTTTCATATAGACTTCAAGCAAGTTAATTTTCATTAATGAGTACTTTAAGCACACTATATAATTTTTAAATGTGAAAATGCACATAGCTTTTTAGCTGCTACAATTTTCTGGCCATCCTGTACACCAAGCTTATGAAGAAAATGACAATTCAGTTCTTATAAATGCAGCTTCCTATCTTTTTATATCATTACTAAATCTCTGCTATTTTTTCATTAATCATGTTTTCTATCTGACATTTTGTCACACTTTTGCTCCCTTACATTGTTCCATCTACCACCTGTCAATTATTTATTGGTCAGTTCAATGTTCACATTTATTGGGAGCCTGAAATATTGATTGTAATCTTCCAAAGCTTTTTTATGTCTTTGAAACATACCCATCATATATACTGTATTCAGTCTGCCTAGATTCTTTCAGTGATCATAATTTTAATAAAATATATAGTCTGTCATATCAGTTTTATAAATGGTCTTTGTCAAAAAAAAAGAAACTTACCTGTCAGAAAAAATGCCACACACAAAACCAGACATCACATGCCCTGCCATAATGAAGGCTTGGGCATAGTATTTGAACGACTGAAAATCGCATACTAAATCCCACTGTAAAAGATTGAATAAAAAACATCATGATGTGAATAATTATATATAGTATTTGAAAAGAAGCCTCAATTATAACCAAATAGTATGCTTGATGGATAATGAAGAAGTCTATAATTAATTTTTAACACTGACACTGTTTACTTCCTTGTTGACTTATATTAGACTTGTCATTGGCCCTAGAGGAGAGCCTACTTAATATAGGTCAAAAGTTCAGGGTTAAGGTGGTCATAGGCCATATGGCAGAACCTGTTATTATTACTTTACTCAATGATAATAATGTCAAATTGCCTTCTTGTTGTGATTTGAATGAGTCCGAAGACTCCCATGCTTGAATATTTGGTTCTGAGTCAGTGGAAAGGTTTAGGAAGGATGAGGAGGTGTGGCCTTGTGGGAGGACTTATGGCACTGGGAGTGGAAATTGAGGTTTCAAAAGAACCATGAAATTGCCAATTCTTTTTCTCTGCCTCATGGCTGTGGATCAAGATGTGAACTCTCAAATGTTCCTTCACCTCTCCATTATGAACTCAAACCCTCTGAAACTATAAGCCAAATTAAACTTTCTTTTATAAATTTATCACATCAAAAGAATAAACTAAAACTCATCTAAATATTTCTGTGTACACCTATAGACCTAACTGTTCTTGATATTGCCCCAGGAAGCTTCTTGAAGCAGTAAGCAGCAGCAATTGGAGAGACACACAATTAGTCAATAGTTTAGAAAAGAAGACTGATTGTTCAACCCTAAATATAACGTATTTACATCTCTGCTAACCACTGCATGCCCCCAAAGCTTCAGGGGAAACTCTATATTCTGAACGTGTCACAGCTATCCAATTCATGAAGTCACAGCAGCTGTGATTACCTACTCAAGATTTGTAAAATACCAAGCCAACACACATTCTAGCATATATATGGATGGTAACTTCCAGAACCCACCTCTTAAAGATGTTTTAGTTCTGAGAACTTCTGCTTGTGTTTTATAAATGTTATTCATTGCCATCCTTGGAAATCACTCTAAATAGTTGTTTGCTTTTGTGGAAAATTAGAATTTCTTTTTTTTTTTATGAGACAGTGTTTCTCTGTATTGTTTTGGAGGCTGTCGGTCCAGCCTGGCCTCGAATTCACAGAGATCCGCCTGCCTCTGCCTCCCGAGTGCTGGGATTAAAGGCATGCGCCACCACCGCCTGGCTGAAAATTAGAATTTCTAATGATTGTTTTCAGACAATGCCATTAACCAGAAATTTCCCTAAAAGCATGATATAAAATAACACTGCCTAACAGTAAACACTACATTTAAATTATTCACCCAAATAAGCCAAGTCCTGAAGATACACTACTAATCATATATCTGAATGCAATCAACACATCCAGTTAAAAACTTGGTAGAATGATGGTGTTATATGGGGGAAATCCATATGAAGTACAAATAAAGGGATTATAAATATGTGTCAATGATCAAAGTTTGCAAATCTTAACTTTGAAAATGTATCTCTCTTTCAAGGTTGCATGAACACACACACACACACACACACACACACACACCTTCTCATCCCCTTCCAAGGTCTCGATATTTTCTGAAAACTGTCTCACATCTCTGTATTCGGTGCCAGGGCTCCATAGTCAATTCGCTAGACATCACTAGATGTAAAATATCTTACCTCTGTAACGATGGTAGAAGTAAAAACACTGTGATCATATGTCCATCCATCCAGGCACGGCTCAGTCTCAAGCTCCGTGTCATTAGAAATTGATACATTGGAATCTATGAATTGCCACTGGGTGTACCGGAAGCGTCGGCATTGCTCAGGTTTCTGGTTTGGACCCATTGGGATAGAGACCTTCAGTAGAACCTCAGTAGTTAAGTTCATAGTGATGTTAATTTCAGATCTGGGATAGTCAAGAAGTTTTACATTGCAGTGATGGGCAGGGGTGGCTGCTGTAAAATTCTCCATGATGTCATGAGAGGATGACAGCAAAGAAAAAATGATGAAAAAGGCAATCCTCAAAATCTGGAATCTTCCACTGTCGCCCACATGGTGTAAAATTTCATCAAAGGCCATGGCTATTCTGCAAAAGCCAGCTGTAGAATAATAGGCATTGTGATATAGAAAACACAAATTCAAAATCGAAACTTAATTGATTTTAAGATATATATTTTTACTCTTCTGGGCCAGAAATTCAGAAATTTCAAATAGTCATTCTTTTCTCAACAAAACACAATATTAAAATGTAATAAACCAGCTGGGTGGCTTTCACAACATTGACAGCCGTTGACTTATTACACGATGACAGAGAATTCAAATAAAAGTGTCCCTGATGTGGCAACTGTATTGGATTAATACCAGTTTATAAATATACTTAACTTGTAACTTGTTGTATTATGCTCAGTTCTTGATAGTTTTAAAGGATACTAATAACTATTATACTTATAGCTACTCTGCTCCCATGAGTCTAAGCCTTCTTTATAGGACAGGGAGGCTACACTATGTCTCAAAAATATGGCAGTCTATACAACATCTGAAAAATGACAATATCAGTTACCATACCAATATGGATGGTGGAAATTTTGCAAGGCCTCGCCTCTGGATGAAGAACTTCATGAAATCAGTAACTGCTGACAGGGACAGACTCAGTCCCTTCAGCAATTAACCCCTAAGTAGCTATGCAGTTCCAAGTGACCAGCTCTAACAGCATACATGAGAGCAACAGGATGTAGACTCAGCACATTTTGTTTGTATTTATATGTATGTGTATATGTAACAATAATATTTTGATGAGAAAAAGCAAACAACAGAGATAACACATGAAATAGGGGGACCCAAAGGTAGAGGAAGGGGAACAGTGGGTTGTGAAGAACAGAATATAATAACAGGGGATTGAAGATGATGAAATATACTATCCACATGAATAAGATGACAAAACAAAACCCATTACATTGTACAATTCATGAATACAACTAAAAAGGGAGAAGAGATACTAATATACAAGTAAAGATGCAAGGCCTAAAATGTCATGGTTGCATAGTACTTCTAATCAGATTAATTTCTGTTCCTACCATCATGTACATGTGCCTTATATACTGACAGCTTGCCTGTCTCATTATTGTGGTGTACCCATACAAAAACATCTTCTCATCTCCTACCCCAGTGACCCGAAAGCTTTATTCTACCTTTTGGTCTTATGGGTTTAATGGTTTGGGACTGTACACGGAAGTCAAGTCAAGCAGTATTTTCCTTTCAGGGTTTTGTTGTTTTCACATAGGATACTGTCCTTAAGTGTCGTTTATAATTTTATATGTAGCAAGAGTTTCTTGTTTTATGTGTCAATCCCAGTTCCTTCCCCATCCCATCGTTCCATCCCAGCTCTCTTCTGCTCCATAGAAAGGGTGAGACCTTCCATGGGGGATCATCAAAGTCTGTCACATCATTTGGGTGAGGGCCTAGACCCTTCCCCGTGTATCTAGGCTCAGAGAGTATCCCTCTATGGGGAATGGGCTCCCAATTTCTGTTCGTGCACTACATATAAATGCTGTTCCATTACCAGGGGCTCCATAGACTACCCAGGCCTCCTAACTGACACCACATGGTTCCATCCTATGCTGGTTTCCAAGCTGTCAGTCTGGGGTCCGTGTGCTCCCCCCTTGTTCAGGTCAGCTGTTTCTGTGGCTTTCCCCAGCCTGGTCTTGACCCCTTTGCTCATCACTCTTCCCTCTCTACAACTGGATTCCAGGAATTAGGCTCAGTGCTTTGCTGTGGGTCTATGCTTCTGTTTCCATCAGTTAGTGGATGAAGACTCTACGATGGCATATAAGGTAGTCATCAATCTCATTATAGGGGAAGGACATTTAAGGTAGCCTCTCCCCTATTGCTTAGATTCTTAGTTGGGATCATCCTAGTATTTCTCTGGACATTTCTCCCCTAATGCCAGATATTTTTCTTCTTCTTTTTATTTATACCAGGATAATAATAGTAATTTGAAAATTATATATAATTTCAAAGCTAGGTAACATTGAAAGAACTCAATAACCCAAATCATATGAGAAATGAATATCACAACCAATTCTAGCAATACTTTCCCTCACATATTAGGCCAGCTCTTATAAAACTAGTAGAAGTACCAGTTTAGCCAAATAATTTGAAAGAGGTCATTTATACTGATCACAATAATGCAATGCAAATAAGTCTCTCAACTAGGAATAATGCTGTAGAAATATTCTTCAAGAACATTTTAAAAATTCATCAGTCCCTCTACTGATTTTAAATCCAAAGAAAGACACATTGATATTTGTCTCTTAGGTTCATTACAGAATTATTCACAATAGAAAACTATGAGAACCAGGTAGCATCTGCCACTGGAAAATAATTTCATTGAAAACTGTCTACTCTTTGTTTTTTTTCAAATAATGTGTTTGTATAAGTGAGAAGCATGTATGTTCATATGTGATAGAAATTATCAGAATGTAAACAAAAATGTACTCTCAAGGTACCCCTTACCATAAATAAGACCCACAGCCATGGCAGCTTTAACAGAGGTCAGAGTGGTCCTAGGGACCCTAAAACTGACACTGATCACTGCCAGCTTAACCCCCTTAAGCCTGTCCAACAACTCCAGACTGAACTCCACCCTGGGCTCTGTATTGCATTCTATTACTTTGGAAGAAGTCTTCAGAGGCCATGCAGGACCTAGGAACACTGGGCTGCACGCCCTTCCTCCCTCGAGCTCTGCATTCAGTCCTACATCTTCAGAAGCAGATTTTGACTTTACAAGAACACAGGCCAGATCTAGGGACCACATTCTGACCTACAACTTTGGAAGACTTCAGCTTTACCAGAGGCCAGGCTAGATCTAGGGATTCCTAGCCCCCAGAAAACTCAGAAGGGATACCCTACTGGGTCTGAAGACATGCTAGCCACCAGAACCCTTGGCCATTTAGGTCTGAAGACCAAAGAGGAAATAGAAACTAAAGAACAAAACACCCATCTAACAAAGACAAGTTCAGCAATCAATACCTAGATCTATAGTCACTCCAAATCCAGATGCCTAAATGCCAGTATAGATTGCAATCAATAACAGAAAGAGTGATATGGCATCACCAGAGACCAGTTATCCTAAAGCAGCAAGACCCGGACAATCCAACACAACTGAGCCACAAGAAAATGACATTAAAATGAGTTTATAAGGATGATAGAGTTATTAAAGAGGGAATGAAAAAAATCCCTTAAAGAAATTGAGGAAAGGGCAAAAATTAGAAGAAAACAAATTAATCCCTAAATGAAAGCCAAGAAAAAACAAAAAAACTGCACAAAATGAATAAAAACTGTTCAAGATCTGAAAATGGAAACAGAAGCAGTAAAGAAAATATAAACTGAGGAAAACCTGGAAAAGGAAAAGCAATTACAGATGTAAGCTTTACCAGCAGAGTATGAGAGAGGGAAGAGATTATCTCAAGTGTTGAAGACACAATAGAGGAAACGGATTCATCAGTCAAAGAAAATGGTAAATCTAGAAAATTCCTAAAATAAAACATCTAGGAAATCTGGGACAGTAGGGGAGGGAGAGAGATCTGGGATTGACATGTCAAACAAGCTTGTTTCTAATTTAAATTAAAAAAGGAAAAGATAATAGAAATAGAAGAAGCAGAGGAAACACAGCTCAAGAATCCAAAGAATGTATTCAACAAAATAATAGAATAAAAATTTCCCAACCTAAATAAGGTTATAAAAAGGTATAAGAAGCTTACAGAGTACCAAACAGAAAATCCCCTTGCCATATAATAATCAAAACACTAAACATAAAGAACCAAGAAAGAATATCAAAAGCAGCAAGGGAAAAGGACCAAGTAACAAATAAAGCCAGAGCTAATAGACTCACACCTGATTTGTGAAATCTAGAAGGGCCTGCACTAATGATATCTTGCAGACTCTAAGAGACTACTGTATCAGTTTAGTTGATAAAATTAACTAAGTTAACTAAAATGTCTATATGTTTGAAATGACATATATGTTAAATTGCACCCATTGATTTATACTTCTATGCTCTATTTTGTGAACATATCATAAAACTGATCCATAAACCATGAAAACCCAGCATTGTAATCCACTAAAATTAAAGATAGAGGAGTGCAATAAAACGCCAGTGATGTTCAACTGGAAGCTGGTAGTTGTGTTCACCATGCCCAAAAGCAGTAGTATAAGATCTTACAATAAGAATTCTCATGCTCCTGTTAATGCCTTCATATTTACACTGGATAGGAAACACAAGAACAATCAGTAATTTTTTTTACCCAAATCAAGCTATTTTGGCTTTGATGACTCAATTACATACTTTATTAACCATGGTTTTGCATGTTATTATAATAAAAATATGGAAACTTACCTATATAAGACTTATGCTGCACACTGCCAAATCACACTTAGAGAGAGGCGATGTGTCTGCACCAAAGAGAGAAGATATCCAGCACAAGTATGATAAAGTTATTAATTTACCTCTGCTTACTAGATAAGTCCACTGGAATTAAGTGACAGAAGTGGACTTTAGTTCATTGAGTTGCTTGTGTTTTTCTGAAAGTGAAGACAGTGTTAATGAGAAATGTTAGTTACTAAAAACTCTGTGGAAAAGAAAGTAATGTAGAGCCCCACATGATTTTCAGGATGGACCCAGAGTAGCAACTGGAACAGTGCCAAGTAACTTTTCTCAAGAAGCTACACTTCTGTGTAAACATTGCCATCTCTCATCACCAGCATGGTTCCCAGCTTCGTCAATGCTACCTGAATAAACTAAAGATTCTAGAGAATATTTACCTAAGTTAGCTAATCATCTTTATCTGAAAATAACTGCATTTTTCCTCTAGTCTTAAGCATTTCTTTTCTGCATACAATGAAGTATAATCCTATTTATCCACACTTTCCCCCTTCCCACTCATTCATGTAACACCAAAAGTTCACCTTCCAACTTCATGAGTTTAAAAATAAGTCACTAAACACAGCTAGTGTTGCCTGTACATGAATGGCAATGTGACCACTCACTGGGGTAAGGCACTTATGCCAATGCCCACATAGTT